TTCATTACTTTTCTTCTGGTGTTTGAAGAATTGTGGCCTGCTGGCGGCCTCCTGGGAAGGTTCCATGGCCACTTGGAGCCAGCTTGGAACGGTTTTGGGGCATCTTGGAGCATTTTGGGAGACATTTGGAGCCATCTTGGACTATCTTGAGCCATCTTGGAGGTCGTTTTGGGCTTTCTGAGGCCCTAGTGGAGCCATCTTGGGCTATCTTGGGTGCTCCAACCCCTCGCGGACCCCCCCCTCTCCAGGGGAGGGGGGGAGGGGGAGGGGTAACCCTTCCCCGAAGGGGACGAATGGGGTTGGAAGAGACAGCTCTCTAGGCCACCTATGCCCGGAGGGCTGGTAGGATTCCTTTGAACTGCCCTGTATGAAAGACTCTCCAGCAATGATTCCTTAGTAAGGATCCCGATCTCTCTTTCTCGTGGCACCTCGTGTCAAGCCACAGGATCAGCAAGCATTGTAAACGATATGTGTTTCAGGTCAGTGGGCCTGCAACCACTTTAAACACAACCTGTTTTGTTGTTCAGATGTTCCATGGTCCTGCGGATCTATGCGTACTTAGGCAGATCGTGATTCAGGATAAACCCGCGACAATTGTTACTTGAAGTCGTTGCTGGTCATCGGACCTGAACAACTTGTTGTTTGTAATGGTTCATGGTCCCAGCAGGTAGCACGGATTTGTTTAAGAGTTTCTTCGGTATTTAATGTGTGTTGAAAGGCTATTCGGTAATAATTCACCTTTAAGAATTAGCTAATCGTGAGATTTCTCGGTGCGGGTTCTACAGTGCGGACCCTTTTGTTCATGATGATTCATGAGGGTCCCCTACCATTACGAAGGGTTTTTCATTAAGAGTTCTCCTTGGGAAGGATCTGTATGAAGGACGCTTCAGCAAGGTTCCCTTAGTAAGGGCTGTGTAGTAAGATTATTTGGCCTAGGTTCCTCAGACATGATTCCTTAATCAGAATTCCTTTTGTACGGGTTCCTTAGGGAGAGTTTCTTAGTAAGGAAAGGGTTGTACAGACTCTTTGATAAGCAGTCCATCGGAAGGATTCTTCAAGAGGGTTGCTTCGGAAGGATCCTGTATTGAGGATCTCTCTGGTGGGACGGACTATGCAGCAATGACTTCTTCCTAAGGAGTAATTCAATACGGTTCACTTCTATAGTGCGGATTTTCAGTTGTATTCAACCAGGAACCACTACTAATCCGGGTTTGCTCTGAAAGAACTTATTCCGTAGATAATGTCTGTATCAAGGATGATCCAGCCAGGTTTCAGAACACGCACGGTCTCTCTCTCTCTCTTTCTCTTTCTCTCTCTCTCTCTCTCTCTTATGTTCGAAACTAATGAATCGGCCAGTCCTTTGTACGGAGGAGGAGGAGGAGGAAAGGAGGAGGAGGAGACTGGGGGGGAAAGAGAATGCCGCGCCCACGCCCGCAGCCGTGCCCTCACCGCGGCTGTCTGCGTTCGCGGCACGCGAATGGCCTGGCGCAAGCCCCCGCGGTAGGGCGCTCGAGTTCCGCTTCCCTGCCTTCGACGGTGGCGCACACTCTTGCGCGAATCCGCGGTGGTGCATGGTCCCCGGGCAGTCGCGCGCCGCGCATTCGAGGACCCGCTCACCCCTCCCCTCGTCCCAAAACCAGAGGGCATGCGACGGGTGAGGGAGCGTCCCGCCCCACACCGGCACCTCCAGCGGCACTCGGAGGTTCTCCGCGCACGCTATTGGCTGCACGCACACGCTTTGCAGCCACTCGACGATTCTCTTCCCTTCCCTCGGCCACGTTGAGTCGTGGCCTGGCCGCCCGCTCCAGGCGCTCCGCCCACCGCCTGCCGCAGTCGTCCGCGTCGGCCGCAGCGCGCGTGGCGGCGGTCGGCCTCCTGCAGACGTCCGCGGCCTCTCGATCCACCTCCAAGACCTCCTCCACGACCTCGTCTGGCAGCTGGCTGCGGCACGCCGCCAACCCTAGGCGAGTCTGTCCGCCTCGACATTGCTCCAATTAGCCCCGTGGTTGCTGCCTTGGAGTGTCACCTCGTCGAGGTCGATATGGCTTTCCACTTTCACTAATGCCACGTCGCGCTCCCTCGACTGCCGTCGCAGCTCGCACTCGTACCAAAGGTCCGCGTTGGAAGTCGGTCTCCACCGTCTCCAGCCCAGCCGTGCCTTTCCCCTGACCGCGTACGCGCTGTCCGTGATCAGTCTGAGGGGGCCGAACGGTCATTCGGTGTCCCTGGGTGCGTGGCTTAGTTAGGGATCCGTGGTGAGGATTCTGCTTGTTGCGTTGTTGTTGTAGTACGAAGGGACCCTACCTGTGCACCCCGTCGCGTGGTCCTTTGCCCCCCCCCCCCCCCCAAAGAACTCAAGAGAACCCTCCCCGCCCGCGGCAGCGCTCTTATGGGATTCCATAGGGATCTGATGGGATTCCATAGGGCTCCTATGTGATTACAAGTACGGGGTCCCATAGGGATCCGATCGGACTCCATAGGGGTCATATAGGATGTTTTGGTTTCCCGCCCTTGATTGTTGAACATTATTAATTCTAAAGAATAATTATTGTTGGGCCCCCTGGTGCGCGCCCCACCCGCCGCGCCTAGGCCGCAGCCACGTTTTCATCATTTTCGTGAGGAAGCCTCAGGTAATTCGATGTCATCAAGATCAGGTTGTTTTGTTCCCCCCCGCTTTCCCTTGCAAAAAACACTATAAAATGAAATTTCTTGTTCAAATATACTCAAATTTCAAGAATCCCTTGCAAAAAATAAGGTAAAGTGGACATTCGCGCGCGCAAGACGAAATCCTTCCAAAAGCTTAGTGTTCGGAGCGATTTTAACATAAAAACATCAAAAAACCAATGGTTTTTCAACAAAAAAATGTCAAAATCTCATCCCGCGCGCTCTTGCGGATTCGTAGGAAACCCAACACTTTTTAAACATTTCTGTCAAACGGGCTTTTGCGAGCAACTTTTTCGAACTTCTGCGACAACGGTTGCGCACCTGCCAGGGCCATCATCCCTGTCAAATAATACCATGCGGGACACATTCGTTTTTTCTTCGCGCGCGCACGCCGAAATCTCCAAAAACCATTGGGTTCTTAAGAATTTTAGCACCGCGCATCATAAAATCACACGAATCGCACCGTAGGTCCTCGAAAAACACCTGCACGACTTTTCAAAATTTCCACCCGCGCGCGCTGTCCGAATCCTAAAACAACCAATGGTTTTCCAACATTTATGTTACATGAGCTCGCGCGAGCTACTTTCGCACGCTCTTGCAACGGGGTTCGCGCGCCTGCCAGGGGCCATAATCCCTTGCGGTTGCGCCATAAGTTCTGAATAAGTGACCAAGTTCTGTGGGTGTGTACCCCACGCCAGTGTAGTAGCCACGGTCGTCCGCACGCCACGAAGTGAAGTGTCCCAACGTCATAGGGCGGGAAGCTGGGTTTGGGTGGTCGCGAAGAGTCGTTTGGATATTTGGTAGAGCTTGTAATGCCCCCCCACGAAGTGGGGGTATTGCCTGGTGTCGTATGAAAACCCTGGCACTGGGGAGAACACCACGCGTTCGGGTAAAATGATTGTTGTTGTTGTTGTTGTTGTTGTTGTTGTTGTTGTTGTTGTTGTTGTTGTTGTATGTTTGGCGCTGCCTGTGGACCCAGGGGCCGCCGAAAAACACGCTCTGGGCCATGGGGCCGCTAAACATCGCAAGGCGAGGAGGGCGAGGAAGGGGGAGGATGCGGTTGTGATTGCATTTTGTTGTTGGGAGGGTGGGGCGCCGCTCCTGGGCCCAAGAACCGCCTAAAAACAGCTCTGGGCCCGAAAGCCGCCGAAATCGGGGGGGCGAGGGCGAGGAGGAGGAAGGAGGAGGTTACTACTGCTGCTACTGCTACGATCACCACTACTACTACTACTACTACTACTACTGCTACTACTACTGCTACTACTACTACTACTACTACTACTACTACTTCTACTACTACTACTACTACTACTACTACTACTACTACTACTACTACTACTACTACTAATGATACTAATACGAATACTAATACTAATCCTAATACTAATATCAGTTTTACTACTACTACTACTACTACTACTACTACTACTACTACTACTACTACTACTACTTCTACTACTACTACTACTACTACTACTACTACTACTACTACTACTACTACTACTACTACTACTACTACTGATGCGCTTGGTCATCATGTCCACGTTCGCGCCGTCCTCCAACCCCTTCCCACTAATGCAATGAAGCTCTCTGCCACTGCTGGAACTCCAGGCAATGTTCGAAAAACCTCAATGACGGGCGCCCAGTCCAAAACCTCGTCGCCAGATCGCTCCTCTTCGATCCTGTATCTTTTGCCTCCACGGCTCATTCGGTCCCAGGACCACATTCGTGCCCAGCCAGCGTTTGGCAGGATGGCAGCGACGTCGGTCATCACGTCGGAGACCTTCCTCCAACGTGCCCGGGGTTTCAGTGAGCGTAGACGCGCCACCATGGGCCCCCAAGCCCTCTTAGCGCGTCGCCAGTGCAGCCCCTCCCGCCCCTCCGAGCTCAGGAGCTGGAGCCAGAGGCGGATCGCCGCTGCCAGAAGAGCGATGCCCTGGCCCCTGCCACGCCGTGGATGGGCGGCGCCCCGCGCTTCCGCGCCGGCAGCCTCTGCCCCTGCCCCCCGCCTCGGCTTCCGCATCGGCGTCGGCGCGAGCGGCGTGACCTCTGCGCGGGCATTTCCCCGTCGCTGCAGTCCGCCGTGCCGCTCGGGCCCCTGCGCGCGCCTTAGGCCGTGTTCCGCAGCCTGTGCAGCCGGCGGCGCCCGACAGGAGTTGGATGAGGAGAGGGAGGAATTTTCAGAACAGGAGGACGGAGGCGGAGGCAGAACAGGGAGGGGAGGAGGGGGGCGAGAGGAGGTGGGAACGAGGAGGAGGAGGAGGAGGAGGAGGAGAAGGCAGGGCTTGAGGAGGGGCACAAGGGGAAGGCGACCAGGATGGCGTGGGGAGCGTCAGGCATCCACGTCTTGCAGCGCATCGCCTGAGCGGGCATCGGCGGGCGCTGGCCGAGCCGCTTGTGGCTTGCCTTTCTCCGGGGAACGAGGGGCAACGATGCAAGAGCCAAGTGGGTTAGGATGCAACTGTGGTCGAAAGCCATCCCAATCCGGCATGATCCGATGTATTTTTGCCATGTCTGGCCCGATCGGCCCCTCATTTGTCCCCCCTTCCTGCCTTCCTCCCTCTCTCTCATTCCCCATCCCCCGCATCCATGCGAGCAGGACACAACTGCATTGCACACAGGAGTCCCCAACATGTTCTCAAGCATTTCGCGCCTGCCCTTCTCTTTCTCTGTTGCTCTCCTTCTCTCTCTCTCTCTTGCTCTCTCTCTCCCTCTCTCTCTCTCTCTCTCTCTTTCTCCCCATTACTAATTATCTCTATCATCCCAACCCGCTCTGCACCACGGTATCTACTTACGCGAAATAGCCTCGGGATGCGAGCAGATCATTTTAGCGATTCTCTTGCCTCGGCACCCTGTGTACCGTCTGTGGCCACTGGCTCTCGGAGAGCGTTGATGCTTCCTTCGCGCCCAATTTGATCGCACACTGCTTTGTCTTTCATGGGAGTAGCGAGGAAGCGAGGGGAATCTGCCGCTGACACCACATGGGAGCACCCGCTGGCACTGCCTAAACCCTGCTCTTTATATTTGTGTCAGCCCCGGCGATAAACAGGCGCACGCGCGCGGGGAAGGGTCGAGAGCGCCTGGCGGAGGGAGCATTCCGGCAGTGGCTTTGAGGGTTCTCTGGGACAGGGGGGGTGAGGAAGAGGGAGGGAAGGGGGGGGAGGGGGGACGGGGGGATGGGGGTATGGGCGAGGGTGGTCGTACGAGGACGATGAGAGATATTAGGGGAGAGGAGGGTAGACGGCACGGGGGACGGGGTGTCACCATAAGGGGCGAGGGGAGGAACAGGGGTGAAGGGAGGAGGGGAGGAAGGATAGCGAAAGAGAGAGAGAGAGAGAGAGACAGGGAGAGAGGAGCGACATGATTCGGACGCCGGGCACGTCCGCGCGGGCGGGGCTACAAGCGCCTCACTGCCCGCGCCTGCGGGAGGGACCGCTTGTAGAATCAGGGGTTGCGACAACCTCCCCCCGCCCGGCGCCGTCGAGAAGATTATATCTCTGGAAAGCGTAGCAGGGCTTGGTGGCTCAAGAGTGGCACTCCCGATCTGCACGCCCATGATGGAAGGAGGTCCAGGTACAGCACGTTGTGGCCTGCGCGCTCTGAGTCTTCGAAAGAGGGCGCTACGGAGGGGCACGCCCGACCGCGACCCAAATGCGTCATCCGCGGAACGTGTTGCCAGGCGTTCTCACGGGACGCAGGTCAAAAGAAGTTAGAGGCTGCCGCGCTGGCGGTGAGCGTCGAGTCTTGCTTGGATGACTTCATTCGAAACAGAACAAACAGCATAAACATAGAATTTTGGCGCTTCGCGCAAATTTCCTAAATCCGCACTAGGCCCTCCTGGCAGCGCCTCGGGCGCCGCCTCTGGCGCGCTCCGCGCGCCAGGGGAGGGTGTCCAGCGCAGGTCCAAGAAATCCGTGTGGAGCGCCACAAGTTTATGTGTATGCCGTTTTTGTTCTGCTTCTGTTCATGGAGGGGAGCTCGGGGGGACAGAGGCGGTGGACACGCCGAGCGGGTGGTGTCCCGGGCGGATTGGGGTTGGTGGAACCGTGCGACGAGAGGCCCCGACTACAGTCGACCCGCATGGTAAGGATGAGCAACCTTCCCAAGGGTACCCGTGCATCCTTGCCTCCTCGGTCCATCCTTGGCCATTTTCGTTGGCCACGCGGCCACACCCCGCTCGAAAGGTTTCGAAACGGCCTTCTCAGGCCCTTGCATCCTCATCGCGAATCCTTATGATACGGGTCGACTGTACTGTAAGAGGAATGGCTGCAAATAGGCATGGTGGCCCCCGTGGTTGATGCCCGAAGGAGTCGGCGGACGCCGGGAGGGGGGGCCACGGTGGACTACGGCATGAGCTACGGCGTGGGGGCTGGTTGCAGCTTCTGTTCTGGATGACACCTTGGGACGCTCAACTTCATTGAGCTGGATACCGCCATGGCGTTCGAGAGTATCGTGGTTCGGCTCGACTCAATAGAGCTGGATGCCGCCGAGTTGCCTGAGTACGTCGCAGTTGACACTGTAGTTTTGTCGCGACTCCATACAGCTGGATGCCGCCGTTGTATTCGAGGACGTCGTGGTGTGCACCGTGGTGTTGCTGGATTTCTCTGGACTAGATGCTGACAGGATGGTCGGGTACGTCGTGGTGGACACCATGGTGCTGCTCGACACTGGAAGGCTGGGTACCACGCCGTGGTACGGTCCGGTGTGAGGCACGTCGGGCTTGGTGGCCACAGTGTCGCCGTGGCGTCGCCGTCGCAATCCTGAATGACGACGGCGTCCGACTGCTCCGTCGACGAGGACGACGGCGACGGCGATGGCGAAGACGACTGCGACGTTTTGAGAGGAGGAGAGGTCGGAGGGTCGCTCGCGTTGAGGACCTCCGGAGCCGCCTCGCGGGCAGTCGCGACATTGTCGTTGATGGCGCCTCTCCATGGTGCCCACGTGGATGCCGAAGTGGACGCGCTCGTTTTCAAGCTTGGGAAGTCCAGCTGTCCTCCGCACGGCGAACGACCGCAAGTTCGCCGACGTCGCCAGTGTGGGAGTGTGAACCACGGGGTCGCGCTGCCCACGAGGGCTCCGCCCTCTCTCGCCCTGGCAGGGGACTCGCTGAGGGCGCCTTGCGAGCGGCGGCCTCGAAGCGATTGCCTGGCCGAGCGAAAGGAACCTCTCCAAGGCGTGGCCTGTCCAGAGCCGCCAAGGAGGAGCCGATCCGAAAGTCCGTGGCAGGCAGGGGCGGCGGGGTCGGCTGGCAGGCCAGTCACGTGGAGCAGGGCACAGGGTGGCGAGGCAGGGTCATGGATGGCACAGCTGCTCATTGCGTGGCTGGTGCCTTTCGCGCGGCTGCAGAGGTAGGCGGTGGCTGTAGAAAGACCGCGGCATGGAGTCGGTAGTCCGCGAGGTGGCACATGGAGTGGCACGCGGCTTGGCACGTGGAGTGGATCATGGAGTGGCGCGTGGAGCGGCACATGGTGTGGCTCATGGAGGGGTTGTCCAGGAGACTGGCAGGCGTCCCTGGTTGCCAGACGCCGTGCACGTGAGCCCTGGTGGGCCGGCCCTTCTGGGCCTGTGTCGGAGAGACGCTGGAGCCTCCCTGATGGCAGGCGCTCGAGAGGTGGCACATGGAGAGGCACGTGGAGTGGCACATGACATGGGCACATGGGAGTGGCACACGGCGTGCACGTGGAGTGGCACATTGCGTGGCACATGACGTGGCTCATGGAGTGGCCGTCCACGAGACTTGCCGTCGGTCCCTGGTTGTCAGACAACGTGCACGTGAGCCCTGGTGGGCTGGCACTTCGGGCCTGTGCCAGGGAAGCGACGGGGCCCTGACTGGGATGGGTATGGGCGCTGGGGCCACCACGAGGGCGGGCAGGGAAGGGCGAGTGGTCTCCTTGGCCAAAGGGGAGATCATCGTGGGCCGCCACGGGGGGCGCGGCTGGACGTCCACAGTGGAACGGTGTCCAGTGATTTGGACGAGTCTTACGAGCCAAGGTAAGCTAAGGCCGTCGAGCACCCCACGACTGCGAGAGGAACAACAGCGGTGCTGCATAACGCGCCTTGCGTTATGAGCAATCCTGGCGCCCCTGACGCAGAAGCGTACAAGAGGAGAGATACAGGCAGAGATAGCCTCACCTACACACACACACATATATATATATATATATACCCTATAGATCAGTTTGGATAAAAAATAGTCGTTTTCGTACTAAAGTTAACAACTTTTCAAAAAGTTGACAACTTTCCGGAAAGTTGACAACTTTCCAAAAAGTTAACAAAACAGGGAAAATGAACAGATTTGACAAATCAGCAACTTAACAAAATGTTAACTTTTTGGTCGTCGCGAATGACAACTTTTGTGTTCGAAAATGATAAGTTGTCTCTGTGTGTTTTTGTTTTTTTGATAACTTTTCTCTTCCTCTTGTTCGCGAAGATGGGGTTGTAGTTTCGTTTCGGTTTGGTTGTTTTTTTGTTGCAGTTTTGTTGCGGTTTAGTTGTTTTTTCGTTGCAGTTTTGTTGCAGTTTTGTTGCAGTTTTGTTGCAGTTTTGTTGCAGTTTTGTTGCGGTGGTTCTGACGCGTTGCTTTGGTGTTTCTGTGTTTGTTCGCGCTCAACGCTGGGCGAGCATGTCCAGGCGGCGGAGCAAGGCCAAGCGTGATACCACAGTGCCGTCATTCACCGTGCAGCTGCTGCTGCTACTCTTACTACTACTACTACTACTACTACTACTACTACTACTACTACTACTGCTACTACGACTACTACTAGTATTACTACTACGCATACTACCACTACTACTACTACTACTACCACTACTACTACTACTACTACTACTACTGAAACTACTGCTACTACTGCTACTACTACGGCTACGACTACGACTACGACTACCACTACTACTACTACTACTACTACTACTACTACTACTACTACTACTACTACTACTACTACTACTACTACGACTACTACTACTACTACTACTACTACTACTACTACTACTACTACTACTACTACTACTACTACTACTACTACTACTACTACTACTACTACTACTACTACTACTACTACTACTACTACTACTACTACTACTACTACTACTACTACTACTACTACTACTACTACTACTACTACTACTACTACTACTACTACTACTACTACTACTACTACTACTACCACTGCTGCTGCTACTCTTACTACTACTGCTACTCTTACTACTACTACTACTACTACTACTACTACTACCACTACTACTACTACTACTACTACTACTACTACTACTACTACTACTCCTCCTACTACTACTACTACTACTACTACTACTGCTGCTACTACTACTACTACTACTACTACTGCTACTATTACTACAGTT